CTATCTCTCCACATCCTCTCCAACATTTATTACTTGCTGTCTTTTTGAATGTTGCCACTGCTATAGGAATGAGATGGTATCTCATTCTGGTTTTGATTTGCATCTCTCTTACTGCCAGTGATTTTAAGCATTTCTTCATGTGTCTTTTGCCCACTCGAGTATCTTCCTCTGTGAAAATCTTTTCATTCTTGAAGACCATTAAATAAAACTCTGGTAATAAGCTGAAACTATAGTCCTTGACATATTTCTGCATGACTTAAAAAGAAGTGGAAACCTATTCGTTTCCCAGGACTAATGACAGTTGCCCCCTAGAAAAGGAGTACAACCCAGAGACAGAGGTATAAAAGGAATGTTCTATGAAATATTGTACAACACCTTCAATTTACTGAGTTAGAAGAAACAGCTACACAACTATGAGTCTACAGTTTTGATGCAGTAGAAAGTTATCCAGAGGAGCTGGAGTCTGAGGAACTAGGTTGGTGTCTACCTTCCAAAATAGACTTGAAATTTTAGATTCTTGCAAAATCTCTGCCTGGCTTTACAAGGACTGTTAACTTTCAAAAGTTTTTGCCATGTGTTGGCATTTTTCTAAGGACCAGTTTCATCGTGTTTTGATTCTCAAAGGAGCCCATTAACGGGAAAAAAGTTAAAAGGCTCTCTTTTAAAGTTATGTAGTGAAAGAACTTCCCCTGGAGTTTTATTCAATTTGAGGTGATTAATCAAACAGTTTACAATGAGAGGAATTAGTAAGTCTCCACCACAGGAGAGCTTGGAGAATCTGAGGCTGTGGTTGCCCTAGAATTCTAAATTTTCAACAAAATCTCCTCAAATGCTTGTACAGATGGGATTGAGATGTTTCTACAGCTTCCATTACTGATGTCTTGAAGTGGACAACAGTGTTCCAACACTATTTATCATATTCTTGAACAACATTGTCCACAATTTCTCTCTGCCATTAGAGATAGAGGTTGTTAGCAATTTCAGCTTGCTCAGCTACACAATCAGTACTGTTGGCACCAAAAGGCGAATTGTATCAGGACAGTCTGCTATCAGGGACCTCTTTAGAGAACTGAAGAGCAACGATGCCATTCTAGAGACTAAGGTGCACCTGCTCCAGGCCATGATCTTTGCCATTACTTACTATGCATCAGAAAGCTGGACAATGACTAAGGATGGCAGAAGAAGAATTGATGCCTTTGAGATGTGGTGCTGGAGAAGAGTCTTGAACATACCATGGACCATCAAGAGAACAAACATCTGTCTTGGAAAGGGTGAAACCAAGTTTCTCCCTGAAAGCTAGGATTTTGAAACTCTGTCTTACATACTTTGGGCATATGGCAAGGATGGAACAGTCCTTGGAGAAGGACATCATGCTCAGAAGGGTGGAGGTACAGCAGAGAGGAAGACACTGGATGACATGGATTGACATGGTAACTGAGGCAATGGTGTTAGATGTGTCAGAGTCAGTGAGACTGGCTCAAGTTAGTATGAGTTCAGAGCTATTGTACCTAGGGTCGCTGTGAGTCACGGGTGACTCAGTAACAAGAGCTGATCACTTTCATCTAACCAAAAGCTAAAGGAACATGACCTAAGATGATGCAGATAAGACTGTTTTTATCCTGAAAGCCATCGATTGATATTTTTCCAAAGAAGTAACATTTTTCCTTAGAACTCTGGCTACTCAGATCTACTTGGACAATTTCCATTGGCTCTAGTCTCCTAATCTAAATAAGCAGGAACAATAATCTTGGCTTCACAAGGTTGTTCCAAGGATAGAATGTATTTAAAGTGCTCAGCACAAGACCTGATACCTTGCGAGAAACTCCTTCTCCAAGACACACTTATTAACATTTCCTTAAAATCTCTTGTTCCTCCCATTGTACTTTGTTGTTAGGTGCTGTCGAGTCCAGAACAAAACTTCTCCTGATCCTGTGCCATTGTCACAATCTCTGCATGATATCTTTTTCCAAGGATTGTCCCTCCTGGGTATATGGCCAGAGTATGTGAGACAGAGTCTCAAAATCCTTGCCTCCAAGGAGCAGCTTGGTTTCACCATTTCCAGCACAGGCCTGTTAGTTCTCTTGGCAGTCCATGGAATGTTTAATACTCTCTCCAGCACCATAATTCAAAGGCATCAGTTCTTCTTCTGTATCCTTAGTCATTGTCCAGGTCTCCGATGCATAGCAAGTAATTGGGAAGACCATGGCCTAAATCAGCACACCTTAATTCCTAGACTGGCATCCTTGCTCTTCAGCACTCTGGAGAGGTCCTTGACAGTAGATATTCCTCATGTAACTTTTCTTTTGATTTCTTGACTGCTAAGGGTGTTGATTGTGGAACTGAGCAAGATGAAATTGTTAACAATCTCAATCTCTTCTCCATCTATCATGATGCTGCCAGTTGGCTCAGTAGCAAGAATCTTAATTTTCTTCATGTTGAGCTTCAATGCATATTGCAAACTATAGTCCTTGAACCTCTGAAGCATATGCTTCAGGTCCTTCTCAGTCTCAGCAAGTCATGTTGTATCGTCTTGATAATTCAGGTTGTTGATGAGTCTTCCTCAAATCCTGATGCCACATTCTTCCTCATAAAGTCCAGCCTCTTGAATAATCTATTCTGCAAACAGGTTGAAAAGATATTGAGACAGGACCCATCCCTGATGCATTCCTTTTCTGATTTTGAACCATGCAATGTTTCCTTGCTCTTGTGACTATTTGATTAGTTTGGCTCTTAATTGACTCTTGAATTCTTTTCTATTTCCTTTGGTCTCAGAGGAAACAAAGACGTGCTTATATAGTGCTGCTGTCATCTTTGTTAACACCCTCCATTCTGTACGGAGGCGGCACTCCAAGAGTTAAGTGGTCCTTTCAAAATGAAAAAAAAAAACACCTCATTTAGTGCGTCAACACTTACTAAGAGCTACCCTCCAGCAAGTTTGAATAGCTGTGAATTCAACAGGAGGAGAGTGCCTGTCTTTGTCCTGTGGAGCTAATGGTGGTTTTAAACCTCCAGAGACATGCCATCTTTGGGTTCACAATGCAACTCTCTACCCACTAGGCCACCACAGCTTCCATATCTGCCATGTTATTGTTGTTGTTACATGCTGTCAAGTCTGAGCTACCTCATAGATGACCGTCTAGTGGGTTTTCAGAGGCTCTGAATTGCATGGGAGATACCCCAGCTTTCTTCTCAGAAACAGCTGGTGAATTGAAAAACTGCTTGTGTTTGGGTTGACAGTATAAACGTTTACCCACCAGGCCACAAGAGCTCCTTTGTGTCTGTTGTATCCATTATACAACCCAGCAATTACACTGCTGGCCATTTATTCTACATAAATAAAGACTTATGTTCACTCAAAAACCCATACCTTAATGTTTATAGCAGTTTTAGTGAAGTAGACAAAGTGTGGAGACAATCCAAATGTCCTTCAGTGTTTAAATGGCCAGCAAACTAGGTTATACTCAACATTGTCAAGAATCCACCACTGATGCCCGTCACAGTCTGCAAGCATCTGCAGAGAACCGTGCTGAGTGAATGACGCTCCTCCACGGAGATCATACAGTGTGTGATTCCACTTCTATGATATCCTTTCAAAAATAGAGAACAGACTAGTTGTTATTATTAGAGGTTAGAAAGAAATAGGGTTGAAGGGGAATCTGTAACTACAAAAGGATTACATAAGGAAGCCTTGTGGTGACGGAATGTCCTGAATCTTGGCTGTATTGTGTCAATATGCTGTTGTACTATAATTTTGCAAGATGTTACTGTTTGAGGAAAATAAAGTTTACGTGAGATCTCCATATGAACTTTTGATTGTCTAAAACTGAAGCGCTTCATTTAAAAACAAACGAAAGGGATGTGTTTAATAAACTACAAATAACCTCGTATCTAACTTCTCCAATACCAGCCATTAAAAACCCTTGTGGAACAAGGTTCTTCTCTGGCATGCTTGCATTTATTCACATGACTTAGAATAGAATAAATGACACTGGGAATAGGATGGAATCACACCAAAGAGTTCACAATCCGATGAATGTTTTGATGCCACAGTGTCTCTTCTTATTCTTTCCCAGGACTTTGTTGGCCATTTATTTTTTTTATACTAAGGATTGTATTTCCTGCTGGTGAAGCCAGGTCGGGAACTGGGTGTTTAGAGTCTTATTCTTTAGGCGTCTGTGATGTTTTTCATGCATTGCTCTAACTTTGTCCTGTCCTGACACCATGTATGAAGCTGTTGAGTCACACCTTAGTCTCTAGCTGTACTCTATCAGAAAAGTAATGTCTTCGTCATCCTCACAGGTGAGTTTTTTAAAAGCAGCCCTTCTATCATCTGCCACCTCAGAGTCTCCTTGTCCAGTCCTCAAGGTTCTCCAAGCTCAGTGACCATCTTCTCCTGGAACAGGTTGTCATTGTTTGGAAATGTATGACTGGACGTTGTTCAAAGTTCCCTTCAGTCCTTTTCATCTCTTTACCATTTCTCTGCCAAAGTTTTACACATTCTTCAGATACTATCCTTCCTGGGTTTTTGCTCCATTTTCCTGTGTTCTTTGCCTTGTGTGGTTTATGTAGGGTTTGATTCTATTTTTATACCGATTACTAGAATGATTATCTGATCATATGTGTCTGTACGCACATCCTTATTTTCTGGTGTCTTTGATGTGTGATATGTCTGCCGAGTCTACCATCAGAGTGCTGTAGTGCAGTGAGCTAATTAGTGGGCTGCTAAGCACCAGACTGAGTCAGCCAGCTTCTCCGTGGGAGAAAGAAGAGGCAGTCTGCTCCTGGAACGAGTTGGTCTCAGAAATCCAGCAGGACTGTTGTACTGTCTTATAGGGTCACCAAGGGTCAGGTCTACTCAACAGAAGTAGGTGTACATTGTGACACAAATCCTTCTTCAGAGAAAATATGATAATTAGTGGAGTTTGAAAAGAACAGGCTCAGTCCCACATTATATCCATTTTCACACTTTAATGTTAAATTTCTTTTTCTTTTTCTTTCAGTGACCAGAACAAAAAGCCAGGAACAGATCAATAACCAGGTATTTCCTTGCTCTTTATAAACTGTCATATAGAATTTTGCTTCCAATGTTAATAACTTGAAAATGTAATAAAACAAAAGGCAATGCTAGTTATTGGATATGGCTGATATGTATATTGTTGCTCCAAGAACAAATGGATTGGTCGTGGGTGGGTGATGGGGAACTTCCCTGGTCTCTCCTTCCTCTCCACTCTGTCTTCCTCTCTACCCTGAGGAGTGTGGAATGCGGATAGGAAACCACAGCAAAGTGTCCCTCTGACCCCTTTGTGACCTCTGTGTTGATAGCGTCACTGCCTCAAATTGATCCTTTTATCTAGTTTTCTTTTAACTAAGGTGACTTTCCTCTGTGATTTTCCCAAATGTTGATTCACCCCACAGGCAGTCCCTCCCAGGCACTAAGAGCTGAAGTTCTAGCAGTGGACACTTCATTGTAGTCTCTCTTTTCCATTCACAGTCGGCTAACACCTTCCTGTCTGCTTCACCGTTTTCTTTTCCAACCTTTCTACTTACATTTTATGTTGAAGGAAGATGGAGTGATTCTGTTTAACTGGTTAAGATGTTTTAAACAAGCAATCATACTTACAAGCCCTTGGAGGATTTCACCAAAACCCATGTACAACCTTACCCCCATCTACTCTTCCGATGGTTGTCCAGGTACAGCACCTCCCAGAGTAGCCTGTGTCACCAGGCTTAGACAGCGGATGCTGGTCTGTGGAAAAGTACCCTCAAGTTTTGCTCTCAGGTACACATCTCCACCCTTTGTTTTGTTTTGGGTTGTTCCCTTTGGAGGGAGCTCACCTTTGCCGAGAAGAGTGCTAAATCTCCATGTGTATCAGTTAAAAGTACATACTCTAACATCTTCTCCTGATGTGCTCCAAAAGTTTTATAGGTTCAAATTTTGTCCCTACTGTAAGTCCACCCAAATGAATGTGTTGTTGTTTGTTGCTGTTGTATGTGCCGACCCGTCAGTAAGTTTTCCAAGTCAGTACGTCTTCCAGGAGACGTCACCCAACTTTCTCTCTCAGAGCAGCTGGTGGACTCGAACCACAGGCATTTGGGTTGACAGTGCAACTCCTTACTCACTAGGCCAGCAGAGCACCTTAATGAACTTCTAGTTTTATCTAATCTGTGCCAGAGGCTTTATTCCTCATTAGAGATTTTTAATAGTTGATTGATTTGTATAAAACACTGTGCTAGAGATCCAGTAGGTCAAAATTAACGTTTATAACGTATTATTTTGCTTTTGAATATACACTCATAGAAGCAGATATTTTAATGCTGGAAAATGCCATTATTACACAACAGCAAAATCAGTTGGCCACTTTAGATAGTTTATTTACACTTGAGCTTAGCTCCTTTATCATTTTATTTGTATGCAGGCACCCGAGTGGCTTAGTAAGGTTTTGCAATAATTAATAAGGCTTGGCTTTACTATTGTACTGTTTGGATTTGTTTTATGATACATAGGGATATGTTATAAAGAGAACTATTTTCTTTAATAAGCTAAAGCAATTGATCAAAAAGACATTAATGCCATTTCTTATGGGCAGATTTTCATTTCTTCTATTTTTCTTCTTTTTATGATTGAGTAAACTAGTAGAATATATAGACATCAGGAGAGTACACCAAATAGTTACTCATTATATTAAACATCGACAGGGTGCCATATGATATCATAATGGTTTCCAGCCCCAAAGTAAGGGTCTTGACACTTTAATGTAAGAGGGAAATGTCTTAAGCGCATTAATTTTACAGTTTTTCTCAGAAAGAATTGCATTGTTCAGTGTCCGCCAGCTGATATTTTTAATTCTATAATGGAATTTCTATTCAGTCTTTTAAAGCAGGTGTGGTCCCCTCTCAAGAATGCATTGACTATACAATTCAAAGAGTCCTCTTACATCTCTAGTGTATCTGAACTCAGTCCAGAAGTCAAGAAATGAAGTCACGCCTTTCTCTAAATCTTTCTGCTGCCCAAAGAACCCGGCTTGAGAAACACTTTTAAAATCTCACTTAGAATAAGCATTCCAGATTCTGTATCAGAAAGGAAGGTGAAAGGGGACACTGTCACAGGCTAATCTGGCCCCTAACTCCTTCCCACAAGGCAGTATAGATTGTGTAATTAAGCTGAAATTGAAAATCGAGTCCCTTTCTGTGTTTCCATTAGGCAGGCTATGAGTTGCACACCCGTGTGAAGCAGAGAGGCGCACTCTTGCTTGCTGGCCCCTGTCCAGTGTGGGTTGTCAGCCCACAGCCATTTCACCACACCTGAGCCCTATGAACAACTATTTGAGTCCTCCAGGGGAAAACCCTGGATTCTTTCCTGTGTAATTCACTGGGGAAATTAGTATGCTTTCTATTTTTTAAGAAGTAACTTGTTAACGTGACTTGTTTACGACAGGAGGACAAAAATGAACAGCAAACTGCTTGGCAGCGTATGGCTCCGAACGAGATGAATGCATGACCCATTTTTTTCAGCTGTCTCTTTGGCAGTTAAGTGCTGCAGCAATTTCCTTTCCTGAAAAAGGCTCCTCTTAGAGATGAAACCTCCTATAAAATCTCAGAATACTTTTTTATGATAGTAGGTTAAAGTGTAAAATACCTTCCAATCCCAAATTAAGATATAGTCCACAAGAAAATTATTACCCTCTGATCCCAGGTTAAATATGGTCCACAAGAAAATTATTATCTTCCAATCTCAAATTAAAATATGGTCCACAAGAGAAGGGGAAATACGCATACCTTGTAACTTAACTTTTGGACACTGGCTCTTTATGCAGTAAACAGTTAAAGCATGCAAGTGACTTCACACCTTCTGTATGTGGTGTTTATATAGCAGATAAGTGAAACCTATAGTCAAAGAATAAGGGTTCTGGTGGCCTAGTGATAAGAAGTTACACTACCAACCCAAAGGCAGTCAGTTCAAATCCACCCATTGCACTGAGGGAGAAAGATGAGCAGTCTCCTTCCATGCAATTAATAGCCTCTGAAAACCCTCTGGACAGACACCTCAGAGTCACTTCCGACTTATTACCAATGACTTACTGCTTTGGAGAGGACTCCTCTAGCATTCCTAGACTTATTTCTCCTTGTATTATTTTATGCACACTGTATACCAACACTCCCACACCCTACTTGTATCCCTAGACCCAAATTAAATCCCACCTTTTCCATAAAATTTTCTTTCACCAAACAGCTGAGAACAATCTCTCCTTCTTCTGTTATCCAGCCTTACTTTGTTTCATCCCTCCGCTGTACACTCTTGCATATACTTCTCTTTATTCCAATTTTTTATATCCATGTATGACTGTTGTGCTGGATAGCTTCATTATAAAGAGAATAAACTAGGTTTCCTTCATTTTTGTGTTCACTCAATCACTTGATCAGTGTCTAGTTGGAGGTTAATTCTTGAATTCACTGAATTATTGTTCCATTGTTATGTTGTTAGGTGCCATCGAGTTGGAGAGTTGACTCCAACTCCAAATCCTCCAGTGGATTTTCAGAGGCTGTAAAAGGAGATTGCCTATCTTTCTCCCATAATTCTTACGCTGTTGGCCAGATGTTGGCCATACCCTACTACTGGAAGGTCAAACCTGTTGTGTGATTGGTTCTTACAGGAGCCAGTTGTCTTTTGCCTTTCCTAGAAAGGAACCTAAATGGCCAAAACCATTAAGAGATATTGAAAGAATCAAAATGCAGAAATGCCCAGATCTAAATTTACTTTGACCTTTTTGTCTGCATTCTCTCATTGCTTGTAGAATGTTAGTTCACTCGGGTTAAAAAATGGGCCCTGATTTCACTCAAGTATAACCATGGCAATGCCATTCTCTGCTGCCTTTGCTGTGGCGTGTGAACTTTAAAACTTCTAAATTTAAAGTAGGATTGTGTTACCTTGCACTATTCTTATCAAAATGGTCATGCACTCAGACTATTTTGTATTAAAGGTATTTTCCTTTTTCATCTTCAGCACTAATGGAGCTAGTAAAGATTGCATCCCTGTAATTCGCTCTAAAGATTACCTTCAACAATTGTTGGGCTTTTAAAAAGCTATCCAATTTAGGAAGTCTTTTTAAAAAGTGCTTGAAATCAAGTTGAAAAAGATAAACAAGAAATGGTTGCCGTGATCATGGTTAACCATGAAGGATTTATAAAAGATGGCCTTTATTAACATTTAGATGACTTCCAACCAGAAAATGTCAATCTAGACCTGAATGTCAAATGTCTGGAACGTAATTATTTAATTAGAAGCCAAGAAAGTTAAACTATTGTGTATGTGTGTCTTGTACCTGTTCATATGTGTTATCAGAACAAAGGAAGCATGAGAAAATGACCCTATTTAGGGAACTCTGGTGGCCTAGTTGCAAGAAGCTGCACTGCAATCCCAGAGGCAGGCAGTTCAAATCCACCAGTTGCTCTGCTGGAGAAGGAGGGACAATCTCCTCCTCTACCAATCAGATCTGATTTGGCGGTACACTCGCAAAAAAATAATAAATAAAATTTAATTTTTTTAAAAAGTGACCCTGTTTACAAACATGAACATCATGAAGAAAATAGTGGTTGAAGAAAAAATTGCTTATTAGTAACAATGCAAAAGCTGTTAGCAACTAAATATGCAGAGTTCTCACCCAAGCACTCAGATATTTCTAAATAATAATGCTCAATAATTGTCCCAGCCACCCAGAGCTTGAGATCTCATTTATTTGTCACAATCCTATGAAGGCAGGTATCTTAATTTCCATTGTGCATATGTATTAACTCAGTCTTGAGAGATTAGTAATTCCCTAGATATTTTAGTGCTTATTGCTGCTAACTGGCATCAAAAAGGCTGCTGACTCTTGACAACGCTCATGTTTCAATAGAATTGACCCATAGGGTGTCTTTACAAAAGCAGATCGCCAAGCCTACCTGCAATGGAGTCCCTGTTGTTGTTGTTGTTATTTGCCATCAAGTCAATTCCAACTCTGAATCCTTCTTTAACTTGAGCCAACTTCATTGTCTCCAAAA